TACAGTAATGCAATTTATGTTGTTTACTTTATTAAATTTGTACTAATCACTAACAATTGTTTTGTTAATGTTACTACTGCATTATTCAATAGTTAACATTATTATTTATACAAATGTTAAAACATGTTATATGTTGAAAAGTATAACAATAAACATTTTGTGGTTTTAAGAAGAGAGTCATAAAATATTTGTAAAATTGAAACAATTTTTAAATATGCTGTTGACATATTTAAATATGCTGCTGCCATAGAAGGTGGCAATCCTTGAAATTGAGAGTAGATTATCCTGATATTGGTTATTTGATGTAATGCATTAGTTGATCAGATTTACATTTTTATTCTGTATTTGCAGATCTAATTTCACAGTATGACTGTATCTCTTGATATTATTTTTTATCAACATATTGTAATGTATTTAAACTTATTGTACTATTAAGATAGTGAACAGACTGAATAGGAATTTTATTGTCTGTTAAACATGAATGCACATATATGAGAATTAAAAGCATACAAGTATCATCAGTAATTTTACTTACATTTAGTATTATGAAAACGATTAGTTAACAATTATATTAATGTACCATAAGTATATTTAACAAGTGTAACTTTTTCATGATTCTTGCAGAATGTATGATTATTACCATATTTATAAATTAGAGAAGAGATCAATTTGTTGACTGAAGCTTAACAAATATGTGATATCCATTATTAATTCATTTTTACTTTAGAGCAAATGCTTGTTGAATATTCGTGAATTCTGAACTGGATAAAATAAGCGATATTACAAGCCATTAGTTATATACATGAACTGCTTTCACAATATAATAATTATATAAAAACTGTAATTGAGTTGTAAGGAAAAAAATGAATCTTAAACATGTTTAGAAATACATGAACAAACAATAATGTATTAACGATCGTTAACACTAAAAGACGCGCGAAATTACGAATTAGTTACCTCAACTTTCAATATTAGAATCTCCACATTTTAATTATTCAAGTCTTATTAAAATGGTTTACGTTCTGTCTCTTAATATTTATTAATAACAAAAAAAGTAAAATTTTTACTAGAATCAGTAGGAATTTATAATGGAATTTAACATACAAACAATAGCTATACTTATATGTATATTACGTAGAAAGGTTGAAATGCATAGTATTTTTTGTAACACAATGATAATTTAATTTTTTTTTTCATGTCATTTTCATCTTCTTGTACTATTAATATTAGAAAAATATCAAGCTTAATTATAACTTTCCTTTTATAAAGCTAGAAATAATCGTTAGAATTTTTATAAATAACAACATTATAAAATACTTGGGTTCAATATTATATATTCTTCTTTGAATCAAATAAGTTTTATAGGAGTATTGTTTTTACATTTCCAAGCATTCAAAAATATTTCTGCATGCATATTTAAAGTGCATCGACTGTATGAACTCAAATGGTGTTGCACGTACTGTGAAACAGTTCGTAGTTACTCAACTATTCCTTTCTCTTATCTTCGATAGTACAAAGGCATTCAAGTGTGCAAGCTTATTTCTTGTTCCTTTAATAGTAATGAACACTGTTGGCGGGGAAAAAAAAAAATAATGGAGACAAACCTTAATTAAAAAAAAAAAATACAGGTTTTTTTTTCTTCTGATATGTCATTTACTGCAGTTAGCAAAAATATACTGCACTAATGTACATAATAAAATAATACCCGATTTCGGCATTACAAAAATATTCAGAGACTGGAACTTTAATATTTTACATATTGTTTATGATATCTACCAAAATTTTAATTTTTTTTTTTATAATTTAGTGTTCTTTTCTTTTTAAGTCTCTTTTTGAATCTTTCTTTTGTGTGTATGGGTGTATCTCTAATTTCGCGACACAATTTATCCAATAGATTCTCAATTGAGAATATTAAGAAGAATGTAACTCTCAACTTATGATGCACACATTGAGTTTATAAATATTGCGTGGGATCAGGTTACTGGTTTCCTAGAACGTGTAATCTAGAAAATGCACTGTAAGTGTTCGAATATTTTTGTAACATGGAAATCGGGTATTATTTCATTTAATGTTTATACAAATGTAACGGGTATATTATAGTACAATAAATTTTATATTTTTTTCTAACAATAATGAACGATTTATCGGAAGAAAATAGGACCTTATTTCTTTTAATTAAGATACAGATCGATTTATTCAAATATACCCTGCTGTCCGAATATTTTCGTTATTCACTATATGTATGTACGTAATATGTACTTTATT